ATATCTACATTTTAAAATTTATTTTAAATAATAAAAATAAATACATGATTAAATAAAAGAAATTTTTGCTACTAAAGTATTTTAATATAATAAATAAAATCTATAATGAAATACTCTCTAAAATTTTGTTATATCTTATATGCAAATATTTAAAATAAATTTAAAATAGCCTAAGATATAAGCAATTGAGTGTTCATAAAAAATGGGAGATTTGGGTGAGAACTTGCTAAGCCACTGCAATTAAAACTTCAAAATATTGTTAATTTTGTAGTATATAAATACACCATATTTTAAAATTGAATATAAAATTATTTAAGATGTATTATCATTTTATTAGAAGTGATTATGACAATGTAATTAATAGTGAGGATGAAGATTTTATGATAGCGATTATGATTCACTATCTGAATTAGATGATTGTCTTTAAAATTTGCTAAAAATAAGGTTACTGAAAAGAATTTTCCTAATCAAAAAATAAGAACAATTTAGTTATTTATCTGCCAGGAGCTTAAGAATATGAGAAAGAGGTACACTCCATAAAAATGTTTTGACCTGTTCATAACACCAAAAATGATTAAAGAGAAACCATCAAAATAAAATGCTTATATTTTAGTTTACTTTGTGGCTTTTCCTTTTCCTCCATTAAACTTTGTCAGCAAATATAACTTATAATTTGATAATAGGAAATAAATGATATCCACTAGGAAAATTTAATTACTTCTTTTTTATTATACTTACAATAAAATATTTGCGAAAAATTATGATAATTTATATATAAATAATTTCGAATAATACAAATAACTTTCCTCATTATTCATATTCGATTCAAAATTTTGAATCGAATAACTGTGCTATTCTTATTTGTAAAATACGAATCGAATCAAATCTTTCGAATAACAAATAATTCGTTTTAGGCCTAAGTTTCAGATACTCAGGTGCGTCACCAGCCTTTAGATCCCATGGGTCTCAGCCAAAAAATATTATGGGGTGGGGTTTGTCCCCTATAGCCCATATTTTGTGGGCCTTTGGCCAACTTTGGCCAACTTTGGCTTTTTTTTTAATAACATAATATACTTTTTGATATCGAATATAAAAAAATTTTGCAAGTAATTACAAGAGTGATAAAAAATATCCCTTTTTCCTTCATTATCCAATATACCTTTATATGGATTGTTTTACCGACAATCAGGCTTGCCATAGCATCCAAATCTGATTCATTTCCTATATTCATTATCTTTAATTACATAAGAAAATTTAATACCATCGGAGATAACCTCAGATTGAGCATTACCTATAACTTCTATCGATTTAATAATAAAATATTTTATATATAAATATATTTGCTTATTTTCTTTCTCTTAACATTTTTGTTTTCAATAATTAAATCTCTCATAACTACAATTAATCTTCTTTTATCTAATAATATCTAGAACAATAGTCACAGACCTGAGTGAGCGAACGTGAATCATTGAGGCCCAACCTTTATATATTGTTGCCGATTTTCAAGGATACCAAAAACCTCGTTACCACAGATGTATAGTTTAAAAAAAGAAGAATGGAACTACACCCTACCAAATTGAAATATTAGAGTAAGGTAGAGTTATGAATGATTGGGATAAAAACAAGGCGAGAAGCTATTTCTTTAAATAGCTATTTATTTTTAATCTATTAAATTATTTTACATTAAGGTATTATTAGTATTTATAATCATTAAAAGACATATAGTATTAATATTTCCATTATTATGATCAAATTGTTTATAAACGTTTATAAATTTCTCTTAATCTATTTCTGAATAATAATAAAATTTATTTCCTTAAGCTACTTAATTTCGGCCTATAAAATTTACTGGTTATAAAGATCTTTAATCCTTATACTACGTACGAATTGATTATAAAACAGATAAATATCATTTACTATGAAACTAACAGCCAATAGAGTATTTGAAATCCATAAAATAAATAGATAATTACATCTCGCCTCAGCAGTTGTTCATTTGGTGATCATAAATTAGTCTTAGAATATTATTAAAAGTATGACTAACCACAGAAACCCGCTTAATAAATTCCTATGAGAGGCCTATCTCAGCTATTGATCTAGATAACATGCCAAGCCAGCTATTTTTTTATATTGGAAATGATTTAAGGGATAACTCCACAGGGAATACTTAAGCGAATGGTGATATAAAATTTTTTGGGGTTTGTCCAAAGACATACTAGTTCAATTTTCCTAGATTCTAACATCCTCTATAATGGGAGGGTGTCACATCTGGCCCATAGGCTATTGTTGTATTCGAAGGGAAGTAAGTTTTGGTAATGCATCTTAGACAATTTTTTATAAAGGTTTGCCTCTTTTGTTATCCGACTTTGTATCTCCATGTTTCAATACCATAATATAGCGAGGCGAGTATTAGAATTTTAAAGTCGAACCTTTAGCGGATTAGGTAATTGATTAGATGACCATATCTTCATACCTATATTTGGCTCTGGCTTTGTTTAATTTGACCGCGAAATCTTGTTTGGTCTTTCTTTGTCACTTTTAGGTATTATACTACAATCATCCTTTCATGTATTTTTATATTCAAGTGATGGGGTGAAGAATGAGGCCATCATCTTCGTTTTGTCAATATTTATTTCTAAGCCAAAAAAACTCAGCTTCTACGATAATATTGTGCACTAGGAATTGAAGATCTGTATTGATTCCCCGATCAGACAAAGGTTGTCAGTAAACGCAAGAATATTTAAATTACCAATGATATAGCATTCCGAGCATAATATTTTAATCTTTTTTATATTACGATTTGTAATAAAATTAAATGGCAGTGGAGATAAAATGCTCCCTGTTTCAACCCAATTTTTACAGGGATTTTGGAGATTTTCGCACTATGAATAATTGGACCGAGTAGTTATTAGAAATGCTTTTTATATTTTTGACAATAGGTAGGTGTACCAATCTCCTCCAAAGCCCTCCACAAACTAAGATAAATAATGGAATTGAATTGCCACGAGTAACAATTGGCTTTTTAGTATTACTGCTCTCTCAATTTGGTTTTTTGCAAGAATTCTAGTGAGTTATACCCCTTTCTGAACGAAACCAATGAGCCAGTATAGTCAGGTTCTACAAAAGGCCGAAGACTGTTTAGAATGATATTTGCGAATATCTTACAAGCCACCGAATTCAGAGGCGTCGCTAGCCTTTACAATATCAGGGAACTCAACTAAAAAAAAATTTATAGGGGGATTCGCCCCCCAAGCCTTCCAATTTGCGGGCCTTCAGCCGAGTTTTTTATTAATATATTATACTTTATAAAATTTATTTACTCTGAACAATTATTCTGATTTTCATATTTTGTCATTCATTATATTATGCATACAAAAAAACTGGCATATAAATACTTAAAACAATACAAGACATTTCTAAAAATAATATTTTTTAATACACAATCTATTTATTACATTATAAAATATTTTCGATTGCTGATTTAAAAAAATTTTGCGTCTAAAGAATTACAAGTGATAAAAAAGATTTATTAATTCATACCTATGCCTCAATTGATAATAGTTTTTAAAAATCACTTAATGCAAAAATATAATTCTTAGAAACTTACATTGACAAAAGGTTATCAAACTAATATAACTCTCTGTTACCATTTTAGACAATGTTTATAGAATAAACTCATAAGGGAAATTTTATATACCCAATCCAAATCAATAATTCTTGAAGAAGAGAGTATAAACGACCAATCCAAATCATAAAACTATATGGTGGTTAGAGCTTCCTTTTAGATGACATGATGGAAGCTAGATAAGTAATCGAGAAAATTATTGTGGGATATTAAATTTCTAAAAGATTATCTTCCATTTTAAATGATATATAAACGACTACACATTGACCATTATTGTTTATCTAAAATATGCTATCATATGCTCTCAGCAGCTGTAGCAATAATCTTAAATTACATAGCAAAGCAAATAATAGATGCTTGTTAATTTGCAGTAATAGCCATGACACTCTGCATGTAAACTAATATCAGAATTTTTTATGTTAGATAAATTGATAAAATAAAAACACTATAAATCTTTGGAAAAAATAATTATGCAAATATATTGAAGCCTGGAATTATTTACACGGCAAGGATGCCATATTAGAAATGAAATATTTTCTAACTATAAAATAAGGACCAGAATGATATGATGAAACAATTAAGATTTTATATATTGTCGCACCACCTCTAGTTATGTTATTGCCTCTAGTTGATATATTATATCTCAGTAGTTTGTAATAATATCAAAAATATACTTATATTAAAAATTTAACTTAAAACTGTTTTTCAAAAAAGAAAAAAATAGCTATCCTAAGAACAAGTAAAAAAAAGAGAAGAAAAGATATCAAATTTATTACATCTATTGTAGGATGAATAATAAAATTAAAATTATTTATAACTAAATAGATGGCGTTAAATTAAATGCGAATTGTTATTATATTTTTTATCAAAAGCATTTATTAATAAAAATCATAATAATTTTAACTGTAATATATTATATAACTTGACAAATACGTCTATAAAATTGGCATTTTATCTAATATTTTATAAACAACTGTATATAATAGATGATTATAAACTAAATGTCTAATTACTTACTTTTTATAAAGAAATCTCTTATACTTATTTGGACCTTGAAAATATTTTTAGGAATAGGTATGATAATAAAATTTTAAAATAAATATACAGTTGATTAGTCATTTACAACTCTGCTAATTACAATATTAAATTTCATAGTTTTCAATTAATAAATGATTATATTTATTTAATTAGGGTTATATACAATTTAAATAATAATAGTCAATTAAGCTTCAACTGTTAATGCTAAATTAATATTTAGTTAGTTATATTGATATTCTATTTTTAACACAGAATTTTATTGCAAGCTGACATAGTGAAAATCAATGACATATAATAATACCTAGACTGACAATTAATTCATAAAAAGCATGTATCAATTGAAATCAGCTGGAGACGCCATTAACACCATTATAAGTACATCGATGATAATTTGTCTTGAACCAATTCTTCATTCAAATTCTTACTATAAGTAATACCATGGTTATATTTATAATAATCATTTTACCCTCTAGTTCTTAATATCAAGAGTCCATTATTTATTTTAATTTTATATTTAATTAGCTACTGATACAATTTTATTGATCAAACATTATGTTTTATCAAAAGTATTTTTATTCTTAATTAATAATATTTACATTAATTATAATAATATAGTCATACCTTATAAAATAAGTTTAAGCTCTTTACTTGTAATATGCGGGTTAGCAATATAAGCAATTTTTATTTAAGTTTATTATCAATCTTATTTATTTTATGCAATATATATCTACAGTTATCCAATATTGTAATATTCATACCAAATTAAAATATTAGCTCTAAATTTTAAAATATCAAAAAATTTATAGGCTACCATAAAATTTTTTTCAAATGGTCAACCTAGTTTATAATTTTTTATAAAATAGGGAATAAAATTATATGAAATTATAAAAAATAGTAAAATATTTTATTGATAATTATAATTCCAAACTTTATTCATCATATCATATAATAATAGCCTATTTATATATATGATTTTATTTTTTTTATAAGAAAATAAATATAAATAAATATATTTTTAAATATTTAGAGATATTTTAATAAAAAATTTAAGTAGAGGGGGTAAAAGTGGAATTTTCAAGTAATCTTTATAAATTGAATAATTATTTTATAATAACTTTTTTTTTCATTATAAAGATGTTTATATAAATATAATAAAAACTTGTTCCAAATTTTTTATCTATCTGTCTGACCCATACCATATATTTTTATCTAATTGGCCACATATCCAAAATTTTTTATTTATTAATTGTCCAGCCTGGTCCAGTTTATTATAATTTTTGCTTTTCATGGCTTGGATAATTTTAATTTAATCTAAAATTTTGCCTAATAGGATCTTCTAAAGACTAAAGGTTTTTGATAGTGAAGATACTTTATACATACTAACTTCCAGAAAAAAAAATTTTAAATTTATACATTTTGAATCCTCATAGATTTTACTTCATATGTATACATTTTTGAAAATTATTAAAAAATTTATATATGAACATTTCAGCTTGTTCTATATCTGATTATATATTGTAAAGCTTATTTGATAAAAATTTTCATAAATTGTCTTTATCTTCAATTCATAATTACAGATAATAATTCTCTTTTTTAATTTAAAGATAGATAGCTATGAGTCGCTGTACATCATGCAACAATAATAGCTATACAAGCTAAATCTCTAATAAAAAAATTTTTTCATAGGATATTTCTTTTAATTAATTTAAATTTTATTTCAACCAAATACACCAAGCTCTATGGAGCCCATTTTTCAGAAAAAATGTTTTCTTCCCTCAGTTACATGATATGCTATTCTGAAGGAAGGATCTGTATCATTTATTTTTAATTCCAGACCCTTTCAAGATGTATAATATATTTATTTTAAATTAATATTTTTTTAAGATAACAAATATCCCATTAAATAGAAATAAAATTCTTAAAAGTTCTAACTTTATAGTAAAAAATGATCATACTTATGCTGCTAATAGTTATCCTTAACTAAAAGGGTAAAATATTATTACTCTATAAAAGATCAATTAAAATATTTTTTTTAATATTTAAGAGAAAATTAGATATCCTTATTAATACTCTAGAAGCTGAAGGCTTAGAAGAACCTGTTAGAGATAATAGCCCAGTGAATTTATATATTAAAACACTTTATTTTCACCTTTGAATATTTTGACTTTATGTGTATCAATCAATGACATATAATAATACCTAGACTGACAATTCATTCATTAAAATGCATTTTAAACATGTATCAATTGAAATCAGCTGGAGACGCCATTAACACCATGTTGAGTACATCAATGATAATTTGTCTTAGAACCAATTCTTAATATAAGTAAATATTTTACCCATGAGTCCATTATTTTTATTTACTACTGATACAATTTTATTAATCAAACATTATATTTTATCAAAAGCTTTTATTTTCTTAATTTATAAAATTTACATTATAGCAATATCAGCAATTTTTATTCAAGTTTATTAGGTATCTTATTTACTTTATGCAATCATATATATCTAAACTGAAGATTCCATATAAGAATATCAACTGTCTCAATTTTGTGGGTTCCATATAAATTACATTTAGATTTATAAAAACTTAAGAAATTAAGAGTTTTATTTACTTATAAACTTGTGCCTGGCCCAATTTATATTTTTGCATGGCTGGATTATTTTAATTAGTTTTAAAATTTTGTTCAGTAGGATGTTTTATAATTCTTAAGAATTTATTATTTGGCTTTAAAAAAAACAAAAAAAAATACAAATAAGGCTAGGTTAGAAATAAACTTATTTTTATAACTTTAAAATTATTTGATTTTAGGTTTTTTAGATTCTTCCTTCAAAAGGATTAACAATTCAATCCAATTCGCATCAATTATTTATTATTTTAAGCCTTGATGAAATGTCTATACAGTGACTTATTCATTGGTATAAAAATGAGTTTCATGGATGTATAGATTTTGGAAATGGAATAGAACATTCTGAATTTATATCTGAACTAGCAAAGCTTTTTTTCTTATGGCTTATTATAAAATAATGCAATAACTTCAAAAATATCCTATCAATTATTATTACTTATATAAATAATAATAAATCTTGTATATTTTAAAGTTATTAATTTTTATGATTAAAATGATTTTTATATTATTCATAATATTTATTATAATTAAAGAAATAAACTTATCAATTTTATATTTTATGGAGTTATATGATTAGATCTTAATAACTATTAAACCTTAACATTTAGCAACCCTACTGCAGTTATTGAGAATGTTTAAAATATTTTTACTTTTATTAGGATATCCTATTCCCATTTATAATCTTATCTCTTGGTATTAATTTTCAAATTAGTTTCATTTTATTTATTGTTTTTATCATTCCTTGTTTGTAATATTTTATTTTTTAAAATTGGTTTCATTTTCTAATATGGCTTTTATTATTATGTGTTCGTATCAGTATTTATTTATTTTAACATATTCTCATATGTATTTCTTACAAAATCATAAGCATAACCTAATTCAAAATGTGTAAGAATGAAATAAATTTTATTATAAAATTAAAGTTACAGAAAATTTATAAATATTTTATAAGATATAATAAATTTTCTTAACAAAATATAATATCAACATTTAAAAATATATGATCATGATATAAATCAACAATATTAAATTTAAAAAAAGGAATCTTAATTCAGACACACTATACAATTTATTCATTGGCCATTAAATAAAATTGTTTTGGTCAATTTCTGATGAATATTGATATTCGATTTTCTATTTTGATTATTACCATAATGATGAAATCGAATGTGCAAATAACGTTCAATTATTAATGTAATTAGAATTAGTAGAGCTGCATATGATCAATAAGTTCATCAAAAATATTTGTTTGATGTACTTTAGAAATCCTTTTGAAAATAAATTTTTTTTTTATTAGCAATGATTTTTCAAAAACACGGAATGCACTTTCAGAAATTTGGAATAATATTGAAACACTCTTAGAAGGAATTATTAACCCCTGATTGTTTTTTATTTTTATCAAATTATAAGCATCACTATTTTTATGATTTTAATTATCCATCATAGCTGTTATGCATGCATAACATGTTACTTTTTTTACAGATATTAATTTGCGTATTATATACCCTGCTATATAGGTTGATACATTTTCAAGGTAAAGTGATAATGTCGAAATATAAAGATTAATATGGTTGTTATTGTCAGCTTTTCCTGAAAATCTCCACAAATTAGATTAGTATTATCGATTGGAATACAATTACCTGTTGTTATCTCTTCCAGTTTTGCTACCAAGACATCTTTTATGGCCGATCGTAATTGTTAAGCAGATGGATTATTGTTAAAACCTCCTCTGCTGCATAAACAACTAAAAAATAGTTCAAGATGATCTTGTGAGGTTTTGTAGGAACTAGAATAAGAAAAGAAAAAAAAATTAATAATAATTATGGTTAGTATTAAGAGGTATAAAAATATTTGAAAATAAATAAGAAAAATATATAAAATACTTGAGTTTGGGATTAGGTCCCAATAATAATTCATTCCCAATACCCAGAACATCGATTTTGGTAATGGAATAAAACCTTCCGAATCTCTACCTCTTTGGACCCAAATAATTGTATTCCTTATTTTTGTCATCCGAGCAATTATAAGGAAAAAGTTTGTTATTTTGGACGTTTGCCATATGATGAAACTCCATAAAAATCTACTCGGCGATAAAAAAAATTTAATCAATAATGGAGTAGTAATTATTTTTAAAATATTCCTAAATGTTATATTTACAAATAGGTAATAAATTGGAAATATATAGCAAACCTTCGTGATTTACAGGATAAGGAAGGACTAAGGGCTGCAAATAAAATTGGCCGTTCTCATATTGATTATCATAAGCAGAAAATGAAAGTAAAATAAAAAGAATTTTTTACTTTTAAAATTTTTTTTTTAAAGGTTAAACTTGTCGTTCAAGTTTTTAGTAACTCAGTAGCAAAAGGTATTCTTTTAGCACATGAGCTAAAAATTGATGGGTTTGAAAACTGTGAAGGCACAGTAGACTTTATTCAAATGATTGATCGGTATTAAATAAATACCTTGATAATATTAATAATTTTTTATAGAATGTTTTATTTTTTAAATACTCGAAACATATGCGCTAAAGGGTTTAAGGCCCCACTATCTAAAAGATCTCTTCCATATTATGAAGATTATTTTTTGAAAAATGTATCAATACTCTTAAATCTTTAAAGTTTGAAGATGGGAAATATGTATATGAATCAAATAGAAAAACATGCATTATAGGGTTAATAGCATCAATGAAAAGTATTCTGGGTATTAGGAATGAATTATTATTGGGACCTAATCCCAAACTCAAGTATTTTATATATTTTTCATATTTATTTTCAAATATTTTTATACCTCTTAATACTAA